ATGCGGGAGTTGCGGAGGCGCGGGGGTTCGCCCGCGGTATTGCTCGCTGAAACTCATTGTGTGCTTTTCTTGATGAAGAGAAGAAGAGAGTAACAGAACGGCCTGGGCCGCAGACGCAGCTACATGTAAGCTATTGCAAAGCTCTTGGTGTTAAGCCCAAAACTGTCAGCGACTGGGGCTCGTGTGCATGGTTCAACGCTTGGAGATAGCCGCCGGTCTCGATTTGTTGCATCGACTCGCCATCCGAGTGGTTGAGCGGTCCGACAAGCTCGCAGCGGCAGCATCAGCGTCGTAATGCAGCATGCAGTGTCTCTCTTGGAGCTGGATACCAGAGGCAGAAAAAGCGTGGCAAGCGAGGGCCACTGGGCAGAGATCATCGAATTGGCGCATGATGCCGTGGGGAAGATGGTAATTACGACGGCACTTTGCTCGCTGTTACCATTCCATGGGTGCGGAGGGAGGGACAAGGTTTAATGGCCGAGAGTATCGCCAGCTGTGCCCCGCAAACCACAGGATGATGGGTTTCCCCGATCTGGAGATGCTGGGACATGGTCTTCTTTTGGTTCTTTCAAGCGCAGGTCTCCAGTAGTTCTGTCACTTCTTGTCATTGGTGACCTTGTCAACTTCGCCTTACGTACTCCGTAAGATCGCATACCCATTCGTCTAGGTGTTTGTCTCTTCCGGTCAAAGCTTTCCTCTCCTTTTGTGAGTTCGGATGAGTCTCCCATGAACCATGACGGAGGTCAATGGGGGCCAATAGACTTTCTGTGGAGGATGTGAGATGACTTTGCGGAGGTATTGTGGGGAAACAAAGTGGAATGACAGAGTCATTTGGGGTCATGAGCAACGTAAGATTTCTTCTAGAACGAAATTTGGACTTGGGAGAGCTTCTGAGAGGTCAATCGCATTGCCTATTCTCGCTGAATTCTAAAGATGGTGCCATCTAGCTCGGAAAACGGCCGACTAGTGGGGCTTACAGTTGCCGACAGACCGGACATCTTGACGAAAAGACATTCCATCCGACGCCGAGCCGCAGTCGGTCAAAGCAGCTTCGCAGTCGAAGCAGATGCACCTCCATCTGTTCATTCCGTCGATGTCTCCACCAGTACTTCAGCCTACATCTCGTTGGAAGATGTTCAAATTGGTCTTTGACAGACTGATCTGAGCAAATGCTTCTCTTCGGCCACAGTCCAACTCAAGAGCGGGGCAACACCGTCAGCCACCGGACGGCCCGGACGCTGTAGCCCAGGGAAACCCAGCTACAGTGCGCTACGCCAGAGGCCGATTGAAGGCCAAAGTGCGGGCTGTCTTTACTGGCATTCTACGCGAAGCTTAGACAAGCCGGAAAACGGAACAAGATATGCGAAAATTCTGCTCAATTCGAGCGATTTTAGAGACGTGTTCGCAGAACACATACCTCACAAACAATACCACCAGACTGCGTGGATTACGTAAATGAACTCTCGACTTAATAGGATCATATGGTCCGAGGAAATGTCAAGTACAGGCCCGTGATGAGATAACTGTACTACTACCCAAAATTGATAAGCGCCCGAATGCAAAGAGTCAGCGTACTTATACGAGAACATAGCAGTATACTTTTGCTCAGAGTTGGAAAATTCCTGCTTTGAGAGATACAGCAGCTTTGACCGGAAGACCATTCAACTTGAGTTTCACTAATGATTATTCCGAGTTTTTACATGACTTGGATTCTCGTGGATTTACATAGAGTAGTAGATGAAGACCTATCTTGATCACTACTAAGTACTCTCAAGTTACCATAGCATCCTGAGATGGTTCCGCATGAGCTTTGCGTCATGAGGAAACTTGTAGCTTCGTTCAACCTCAATACACTCAAGAGATACGGATTCCGAGATTGGGGAGGATCACCAGTGTAGACTGTGCAGAGGCTTTTGCCTCAAGCCTCCCTTATCTTCAACGATGATTGAACAGTTATGGATCTTTGTCTTGAACCACAGTAAGAACTTGGCATAGAGGAATGCCAGGCTTGATACTTACGGTGGTGTTCACAAAAATAGTAATCGTCACCAATTTCTCATCGGCATGGAACAACTCGAAAGGGTTTCCACGAGACAATGGAATTCCGGATACAGGTAAAGTTCTTGAGAGCATGATTATGCGTCTCACGGAAAAGGAAAGAGGTCCTGTTGATTCTGCCTTTGACCTCACAGAGGTGATCATGGCTCGATGCCTGAGATTGGACTCCAGTAAGATCGAATGAAAATCTGAAAGATACACCACCCGGAAACATTTGACTACTCAATCAACTACATTGACTTTCAGGTCCATTTCTCGTCCGTCGGCTGATTGGCAAGAAACATACGGAGAGATTCGTTGCTTTAATGAATTTGGCAACAGGGCGAAAATGAAGGAGACAAAAGAGTCCATTCGCTAGTAGACAAAGAAAAAAAGAAGCAGCAGGAGATGAAACCGCCAGAGCGGGTCAAGGAATAACTCGAATCAATCGTTGGAATTTTAGGTGAGAGATCGGTCCTGACAGAGTAAACAGAAAGTGAACATAAGACGCATCAATCGAGCGTTGAGGTAGGCACAATTTCGACTGCGCTCATATTGCAGACCCAAGGCGACTTTGTGCCCGAAACTGTAAATGAGGCCTAGGAAGTCAAGAAAAGACGCTGGCGATGAGAAAGAAGGAACGACACTCGATGGTTTCCACGAAGTCGAAAGTCGAGAGAAGTGAACAGAGGCGACAGGGAAAGGATGAGAAAGACGCAAAAAAGAGATGGAGAGATGCTTGATTATCTTACCAAATCCTTTGAATATCATCACAGGACAGACACCAAAGAGTCTTATAGGAGGACTCATGCAACACATCCCTCGAGTTCGACTGGAGCTATTGCGGGAGATCAAACATCTTCCAAATGAGCTCAACATCCTCGGCAATCATTTTGGTTAAAAGAAGCTCGTTCTGGAATCCTTCAGTCGCATCATCGAAGAATAAAAAAGTTTCTTGCGGATACCAAAAAAGACGGATATTGGACATTCCGAGCCAAGTCTGATTGCGCCGTGCAGAGATGGATTGCCTATGTCAAGCAAATGGATGAAAACGGAAAAGAGAGGGTACATTGTCATGCAAGAAACACAGGCCTTTGCTGACTTCCAAACGGTTGGGTACCTCTGCATCCTAACTGTTTTTTCTGACTTGAGGATCTCATAGACCTCGAAACCAAAGAGGCAAATGCTTTCGAGGCCCAAAATACATGTGTTTAGTCACTGTGTTCACTGCTATGACCACGTCATCGTTCTCCTTTTGGCCTCGTTTATGCCTGCTTTTTTTGTTCTTCCTATTTTAAATATCCCTTCATTGACAATTATAACATGAATGGAAACCCTTGAGGCCCATAGTTTACATATTGGCGCTTACATGCGGCATTCTACAGTGGTCACTACGGTCGCCGTAGCAGTCCCGTTCATCCCTTTTGCTCTTTATGTCGACTCACAGCAATTCCCAAGATTCCGAAGCTGAAGCCTGATGGTCCGGCCCTTTCAGAAAGCGGCAAGGTTTCCAAGTAAAGCTAAGCAACTCGTTCCACTTCTCAGCGAGCTCCCATCAAGCTCCCATCCCAAGGGTTCTGGCTTGTCTTAAGACACGTCCACAAGCTGGTCCGATGCTTTGCGATACTGGCCTTTCACTGTCATCTTATGTTAGCACTTGCGCTTGTTACTTAGCGTCGGATCTTTGCGTGGCTTCGAGGCTTTGGAGAATCCAGTAGAGAAGCAAGAGATAGAGGGAGAGAATGGAGGAGGACGCGATACATCGCTGGACACATCTTGAAGGAAATGAAACATCGCGGAGGTGGTGTGGAGGGAGGTATCGAGGAAACGCGTGCAGAGGAGGTTTGATCAGTTCAAAACATATTCGGTATTTGGTAGATAAGGCGTGATTGCTGGCTGGCAATTACGGTACCGTTTTTGTACAACAAGGTATTAGCTAGGTAATTTGGGAAATCTCTTAGGGGTCTAGAGTCTGGCCGCGTGTTCATAAATTGAGCCGTGTGGATCCACATTGACTGTTATCTGGAGGATCTGGATGTATTCATCTGTACAACAATCTTGTTGACAGGAACTCTCGTCTATGGTTCGCGCACAATGTCAAAGGCTTAACAGTGCTGAGCATGTATGCATGATACCTTTTGGAGACTTCCTTTACGAGAACTAAAGTGCGGCTGACATTTGTAAGTAGAAGCCGATGAGGGTTATGTTTCATGCCCTGGCAATCATTCGCTGTGGCTATGCAATGATTTTGGGAACTTGCTGGTAACACTGTCATTCCACATGTCGAATCTCCTACTAGCTGAGGGCTTAAGGGCTCTTCTCACCGCCTCAGGATTTCTTTCCTTGCATCAATGCGTTTCCTGCCCTTGTCTTTGAAGAAGTGAAGGGGCCGCTGCTATCCAATATGAATACAACTCAACTCCAACAACCCCACCGTCGCTTGCCAGTCTTCTCCAATTGACGTGCCCGCCCTCACGACTTCCCCTGTCCTTCGGGTCAGATCGGCGTGTCGGCCCCCCTTGAATGGTCTAATTGGTGCAACCATGCCTAGGAAATTTGTCGGTGTTCGGGTCAATGAGGGCGAAGGATGTAAACCTGCTACCAAAACCCCCAGCGAGCTCCGATTCTTCTAGTGTCAACCAAAGCTAGCGCGCGCCATTCCCCAGATTTCACCCCGCCCCCATGATCCGAGTGTGGGACGGTGGAAGATCTTTGCGGGGATAAGTGCGGAAATCGAGGATGAAACTCGCTCCTCATGGAGACTCTCTTTTGTTTCCTCTCTCTTATGTAGTGTACAACAGCCATGAGCTGCATAGTCTGGTAGCACCGCCGCCGCTCTCTCAAACTCCGTCAGTCTTGACCGCAATCCTTATGCTCATTCGCCCGGTCTAGGCGCGCGCAACCTTCTTTCAACTACAACCGAGAGTGGAACCAAGATCCCGAAGTGTTATCAAGCAGCGAAGATGGGTGGATTTCGTGCGGTCGAGGATCGACCAACGCCGAAGGAGGTGTACAATTGGCGTCTCTATACAGAGTCTTTCATCATTGCAATGGGCTCTTTGCTGTTCGTCCCTGCTTCATTCTCCGGTCTAACTCTAGGCGGCCCCTCAGAGAATGTGCTAATTCGGCTTGGACAGCTTCGGATATGACTCCGCTTTCATTGGAACAACCATTGCGCGCAAGAGCTTCGTCTATGAATTCGGCATCACATCGTTGACATCCAAGGAGATATCTTCCAATATTACTTCAGCCTTCCAAGCCGGCGCATTAGGGGGCGCGCTTATGTGTTTCTTCAGTATGCCCTTATAGCCCCCGTAAACGTTAGACTCCATCGCTGAAGCTAATGCCTGTCATCCATAGTCACGGAGTATGTTGGTCGCAAATGGGCACTCATCATTAGCAACATTGTGTTTCTTGCTGGTGCTATCCCCATGGTCGCTGCCACGAACGACCTCGCATACATGTATGCTGGCAGAGCACTCACCGGCTGGGGCTGTGGTGTGATCACAGCCACGGTACCTTCCTACATCGCCGAGCTATCGGTCCCTTCAATCCGAGGTATTCTTACAGGTCTTTTTGAGGTCACGTACCAGACAGGATCTTTGATCGGCTTCTGGATCAACTATGGCATCAATCAAAACATGAGTGCCACAAGCTCAGCATCGTGGCGCGTGCCGATGGCTGTTCAGCTCATTCCCTCTGGAGCTTTATTGATCGGAGGATTTCTGCTTCATGAGTCGCCCTTGTGGCTTTACCGCAAGGGGCGCGAAGAGGAGGCGAATAGGAACCTTGTTGCTTTGCGACACTTGCCGATCGACCATCAATACATGCAAGAGGAAGTGGAAATGATCCGCACCAGACTTGCTGAGGAAGCCTCGGTTGCGGCGACTTACGGCGGCGGGTTCTACGCCTACATCCGAGGATCGCTGCATGAACTTTCGCGAAAAGGAATGTGGAACCGTTTGCTCCTTGTCTTCTGCGCGTTTGCTTTGCAGAACATGTCCGGTGCCGCGGGTGAGTTTGTCACTATCATCTGATGGAGCCCACTGCTAACGATCCATACCTTAGCTATTAACTACTACTCTCCCATGCTCTTCGGTTCCATTGGCATCAGTGATGTGGCCCTATACACGGGCATCTATGGTCTGGTCAAGGCCGTCGCTTCCATCATCTTTTACGGTGCACTTATCGATATTTGGGGGAGACGGAGACCGACGATCATTTCATCTCTGGCCTGTTCTCTCTGTTTATGGTTCGTCGGTGCCTACGTCAAGGTCGGCAATCCGGCACCCATTATCGTCGCCGGGGGAAAGCTTTCCGCCTCGACGGAAGCTGGCGGCCGCGCCGCTACCGCCGCCATCATGATCTACTCAGTATTGTGGGTTGCTTGCTTGCAAATGATAGAGAACAGTAATGCTGACTAGTACAGCTGGTCTTTCGGTTTAAATGGTATCCCATGGATCGTCTCCGCAGAGATCTTTCCCGGTGCTCTCCGCAATTTGACTGGAACCTTTGCCGCTTTCACCCAGTGGCTGATCCAGTTCATTATCACAAAAGCTCTTCCGTACATCTTCAGTAGTCTCGACTATGGCGTTTGGTTCTTTTTCGCATGCTGGATGCTCACAGCTACCATCTGGGCATTCTTCTTTCTGCCCGAAACGAAGGGTGTCACAATCGACCAGATGGATGTTTTATTGTAAGTTCATCGAAGTAACTCCTCATATCAGCCTATTCCGGCACTAACAATCCTGTTTAGCGGCTATGAAGGTGATCGTCGGGCCCAAGCTCCAGCTCTAAGATCCGATGACGCGAAGAGCGTAGAACAAGATGTAAGAGAAGTTGACGAGGCGGGTAGAGCTTGATGCTTGGTTGGCAGAAGCCTTGAGACCTGGTCAAAAACGTTACTTGAGGTCGGCGGTGAAGCACTTGGAACAGTTGCGACAGGCCTCTGCCAGAGGTTTTGCTGTCGAATGTGGTCCTTGAATTAGTCTCATGGAGGAAGGTTACACTGCCCTTTTTCCCTCATAGATACCTCTCAGTCCAGAGACTCATATTCCTCTCGACTCAAACCATTTCAAGCAAAATGAACATGAGCCGCCACATTCTCCATGTCGTAACCGTGTATCAGATGTTCAGATTTGAAAGACTCTTTGGTTTTCTGTCATGATAAACACCAGCACCCCTGATTATGCTAAGCTACGTCGGCCTTGCTGAGCTGACTATCTGTGGAGACAAAGCCCGAAAACGATGGCAGCCGGGTCACATGAGACTCTATCGTAAATGTTTGTGTAACAGAAATCCCTCCGCCCCGTGAGAGAGGACTGACACAATCAGGTGCTTGCGCTTCTGCATAAGCCGAGATTTGCGCCTGGTCGCTTTTCCGCCGTAAGGTCCCAAGGCCTTCCATTTCCCAGCTAAGGCTGTCATCCGCATCGCTGTTGTCTGTCATTTGCTTGAAACCATCGCTCCGACTAAGAGTCGTGCGCGCATCAGGACGGTTACGTGTGGTTGCGGGGCCTCTTAGTGTCCTTATTGTCCTTATAGGCTCCGTCGCAACAGTCCTCCCGTTGCCTCGTATTGATAAATTGAGCCACCGAGCTATCGTGCGATCGAATATGGGTCGAAGAATGGGACTCGATGCCACCGTGACTGCAATGCCGTTCTGGAGCACAGCACTATAAGGTGCAGAAGCGAAACTCTTCGTGATGTTCCCGTAGTCGACGGTAAGCGTATGATATAAACGGACATCAGAGAACGGGATGGTGCTATATTCAGTTGTTGCATCAGTATCGTTGTCTTCGGAGTAGAGACATCAAGAGTATTGACTTGAAATCTCGACAGAACACCACTCACATGATACCCACACCAAAGATAAGGTAGAGAGCGATTTGGTGTGGTTTCGACAGTTGCAAGGTGCTGAAAACCTTCATAGGAGGAACGACAGTGATGATATCGGTGATAATGTCGAAGATAGGCACCAGACTAAATAAGAGCTTACTACCTTGGTTATCTGGCTTGGTCTTTGCAATTATCAATCCAACGAGGCCTGTATAAAGTCCCCCAACAATGGAGAGCCCTATTGCAACCCAACACCAAATCCGAAACCAGCGACCAAAATCCGAGAATATGCGTTGAGTTAACAGAATTATGCTCAGTTTGATAGCTTACAGTCCGCCGGCGTATGTGACTTGTGCGGCCAGAAATGTCTTGTAAAAGCAGTTTACGTGGATATTGTGTTCAAGATCGGAAATATTGTATCCTGCGCCTTCAACAACGACCGCTGAGTAAAGATTGCCTGTCAGTAACGCCACAGTCTTGTGATGCCTTGATTGGTGGTCCTTGGTCTAGCATTTTACTTACAGAGAATGCAAGAGGTCGCGGCGCCGTAGAATAAAAGCTAGAAGAGCCGGGAACAAGCCAACTGTGGACCAGCATAGGCCGAAGCTTTCAAAGCAGCTCACCTGGCCAAGAACGTAGAAATAATCCTCAACAAGGTAGGCCGCGCCAACAATGTATTTTGACATAATGCGCATGATGATCCAAACAGTCGCGAGTGCTATCATGATACAAGATACATAACCTGTGCTGCCAGAAAGATTTTGACGAAGTGCGAAACGTGAAGGTTCGGATCCAGAACGCCAACGTCATGGCCAGCACCGCCGAGGATAACCCCTAATCACAAATGCATTAGCCGCTTTATCTTTCGAGTTGGATGACAAGATTAGCTTTCCCACCTAGAATAAAGCACGTTGCAACACCGTAGTAGAGAAGCTGTAGGGTGAGCTCTTGCCCAAAGATATAGTCATTCTTGCCGGTGACATACCTGCCCAGAGAAATAGAGGTAATCTTCCATATGGAAAGGTATTCCCGTTATGCGACGAGAAATGAACCTCATGATCGTCCATAGCGTTGTCAGCACCATCATGATGCACGCTGTCAAAACCAGTGAGGCTCCATCGCGGGTTAATGGCGGATACCTGTCTGTGATCAGGGTCGGAGACTCCTCTCGGAGTTCGAAGAAGATGGGCAAAACCGCGTCCATGTTGGAATATAGATACCCATCAAGTGACGAAAATGAGAAAGGACCGCTCCGGGTACATGGAGATGATCCAGCGAGATCTACTGCTGGACTTTGTTGTTCTTGGAGGGGCCTCTGATCCTTTCGTTCCATTCTCTACCTTGCGGCCTCGAACCGAGGTTGCCAAGACAAATTTCTTTTCACATCGAAAAGATTCAGTCATTATCTCGAAGCGAACCCTCTTCCATGGATCGTTCATCGGTCCCTTGCGACAGAATCACCACATCACGCAACCAACGCAGTTTACCAACAAAACCAAGTGAAATATCCTGGAAACCTCGCTCAAGCCCCTGTCGGTAGGAGGTTATGGTTCCACATTTTACGAATCCGAATGCAACCTTGAACCAACCGCATAGTGTAGACACCTGGACCTTACCCATTACGGCAAGTTGCAAACTGAAGCAAACATTTCCCCTTGTCTAGTATCTTGTAATACACTCAAAGGAAGAGGCACAGCTTCATGTACTATGTATTCTCACGGACGCTGATGGGCTACTCCGTACCTGATGCCAGGTTACGATATGGGCAATAAGGGGATGCCAAGGGCTTCCGCCAGAAACTTTTCACCAACAACAATTCGGAACAGTTTGCTGCGAAACGCGGCTATTGAATAAACACACGGGGTTCTGCCACATTGGATCCTGACCATGTTTGCTAGATTCTATCAGCGGAAGAAGTCCGTTGTTCCGTGCCTGACAGGCACTCCGATTGGAGATATGCTTGCAATCATCGCCGGCGAAGACGAAGCTGCGTGTCCCGAGCTTCAGATTCTTCAAACTAATGTGGTATTCAACCGCCGTGCATATTTTGCTTCATAATGCAGGATAGTGGAACCTTGTTTCCATAGTTTACATGGTGGCAAAAATCCGCTGTGATGTCCAACAGCCAGCCTGAATGTACCAACAGCAGAGCACATGCATCAAGCCGGCCCGCCCATTGCCCCTGCGCGAAAAGACCAAGTCTCAGCGGGCCTCGTACGTGCGGAATTTTCGATATGTGCCCTGAAATTTGGTATCCAGTGTTCTGTCGTGAACCAAGGTTAGGAGCCGGACCGAGATACAAGGCTGGGTTAAAATCTCGCCAGCGATAACACGTTGTCATCCAGTATCAGCTCCAAGGCATTACCAACATTTATTAATCATGTTCCCGCCCAGTCCTACCCACGTCGCCCCGCGAATGACTGCACGTCTTTTATTTCTCTCATTTTCAGTCTGATTCTTTGCGACTCAAGATACAAAGCGAGCAAGATGACTCTTTGGGACTGTATTGTAGTCGGAGGCGGCATCGCCGGTTCCGTGGTATCAAACAGGTTGCTTCAACAGGACCCAACCCTCAGAATCCTGCTCGTTGAAGCTAGCACCAACACCCATGCCGTCGAGAACATCGAATGGATTGACATGAACAATGCCATCGGTGGTGAATACGACTGGGGGTTCTTCTCTGTTCCACAAACCCATCTTGACAACCGGGAGATTGTATCGCCTGTCGGTAAGGGCCTCGGAGGTGGTAGCATTATTAATGGAGGTAAGCTTAACTGTTTTGCAGAATTGGCATGCGTCATCTAACGACTAAGAAGCTGCCTGGGCCCGCGGTCACAAGGTTGACTATGACATCTGGGCCGAGAGAGTTGGCGACCAAAGTTGGAGTTACGAAGGTCAACTTCCGTACATGAAGAAGACTGAGTCGCTTTTTGACAACTTTACCAACCCCCTTTCTCACGGGCATACTGGCCCTGTCAAGGTTCAGTCACCAGAATCCACCGGCCGCGTTTTCCCTCTCCGCGAACCCCTACTCGAGTCCTGGAAAGTGCTTGGAATCGATGCACTCCCTCAACTGGACAACAATGCCGGGAACAATTTTGGTGTTGCAGACCTTCAGGAGAACAGGAACCAAGGAAAACGCCAACTTGCTTCGCTCGTTTACTCCCTCAAAGGTATCACGGTTCTGACCGATAGCTTGGTCGCCAAAGTCCTGGTGGAGAAGCATCCAAAGGATGGTCATCTCGTCGCTCGCGGAATTAGGCTTGAGAACGGGACCGATCTTTTGGGACGAGAGACCATTCTGTCTGCTGGCGCGTACCGCACGCCGCAGATCCTGATGCTTTCAGGCATCGGTCCCGCGGATGCCTTGGAGAAGTTTGGTCTCCCCGTTCTTCTGGATCAACCAGCGATTGGCCGGAACTTCCACGATCACGTTCTGATCCCTACGATCTGGCAATTGAAGAACGCATCAGCAGGATACGCCAAGGAGTCCGGCAATCCCGTTTTCAGCCAGTCTCAATACGCACTAGGGGCTTTCATCGATTTCATGACGGTCACTTCTCTCGAGAAAGAAGGTCTAGCTATTGCCATTGCCGAAGACGAGGGATCGGTCCCGGATCCCGCTGTACATCCGTTGCTGAAGCAAGATCGCGCTCATTCATCACACTTGCTTCAGTACTCGGGGGTTTCCGCGGATGGTTCAGCCATCTTGATGATTTCGGTTGTCTTTATCAACTCTGCCCGAGGTTCTATCACTATCCGATCCTCCGATATCAAGGATGCACCACTCATCGATCCCAACTTCTTGGGTACTAATGTCGACCGCTATGCTGCTAGGGAGACCATCAGACGCAACATCAAGTTGCTGACTTCTGATGAAACTATCATGGGAAGAGAGGTGGTGGCGGGCGAGCTGGCGGCAGAGCCGTTGACACTGAACTCCACAGACGAGCAGATCGATGCCCGGGTGCGCGAGATGGCAGGGTAAGTGACGCCTTCCTGCGGATGAAGACAACTTCTTCTAACACATATCACAGGGGATGCTACCATCCTGCAGGCACAGCCTCCATGGGTACTGTTGTGGATACAGACTTGCGCGTGATTGGGGTTTCGGGTCTTCGTGTTGTTGATACTTCAGTGTTTCCTGTCTCCGTTTCGGCCAACCTACAAGTGGCTGTCTACGCTCTAGCAGAGCAAGCTGCTGAGATCATTGAGTCAACGATGAAGAAGTGCTAAGCCTATCGCGTCAATGAGACGGAGGTATAATATGAGAAATTTCGAAAGTCCCCTATGCTTCGGCATTAATCTCACTCAGTTCTCAGGCTATTTCACTATAGATCATCAAGATAATGTAAAAAAAGGTTCAGGAGGCTAGTTATTCAATTAATGTGGTAGTAACATGTAGCCTAAAGCCTCATGTTCATCGTCGAGTTCAACTCTCCAAAGCGGATGTTGCTGAACGTCACCTCAGGGTTGGCCACGATCGAGGTGATAACCGAGGGGTTACCCTCAGTAGCGTTGCAAGGGCCGTTGTTGCCCTGGTCAAGCCACGACATGAAGGTCGAGTCATCCCACCACAAGCTCATGGCCAGAACCATACCACGCGACATGGCACCGCCCATGACCTCCATAGCACCCAAACGCATGAAGTCGGAGGCACCAGTGGCCTGGCAGTACTCGTCGTTCATGAAGTTGATCTTCGGGGGTCCCTCGATGTTGACAACGTTGTTCTGGATGACCTTGCCGTCCTGGACGTACATGCGGCGGAGCTCCTTGAGCTTGCCGTTCTGGGCGGGGAACTGCGTGACGACAGTGAACTTGCGGGTAGTGTCGACCTTGTAGTCGGCACCGCGGCCGTAGAAGTCGGTCACATTCACGCGGTTGGCGTTCCAGGCGCAGCCGGACTTATCGCAGACGCCAGCCTTCTCGCACTCCTCGCCGGTGCACTTGTAAAGGCCGGGCTGGCTGCAAGGGTGAGGCGCGATGTGAGTTGCACGAGAGTTGGCCTCCCAAATGTCAAGTTCGTTGCAGCAAGAGCCCTTTTGGTCAAAGTTGCCCTGATTCTCGTGTTAGTAATGCACAGTGTCGGGCAGGGAGACAGAGGGGACTCACAACTCCGTTGATGAACGACGTCTTGAAGCACTGCGCATCGCAGTAGCCGGTGCCCCACGCGGGACCAAGTTTGTTCAAGGAGCTTGTGTTCTTGCCACCGTCCGGAAGCATCTCGGACAGGTACAGCGCGCTGTTCATACCGCAGGGCAAGTTGACCATGTCGACGTCGAAGCTGAACTCAGATCCCGTGAGCTGGATCATTTCGTAGCGCTGCTTGTTCTCTTCCAACAGGTAGATGCGGGGAGAGACTTTCTGCTTGTCGGCATTGAACATGGTCAGACGAATGTCCGTGCCGTGGGTAGTGACACCCTTGGTGCTGTAGTCGGCGATACCCTGGATGTGGCAGTTGGTCGCGCACTCCTCGGGAGTGGTACAGGCAGTGGAGTTGGGCGGGTTGTTGCCGGTAAGGCAGCTCACGCCGCTCGAAGTCTTGATTTGATGCTGACTTGAGTCGACGACGAGGTAGTTGGTCTTCTTCTGGCAACCATCCTTGACGGTGCAGCGGAAGGTCTCGATCTTGGGGTGTTCATCAGTAGAATTGCCAGGCGCCTGACCGGAGACGAGGCTGGCGAGAAGAAGAGTA